TAATTTTATTTCTATAGGAAAACTAGATACGAAACTTCTTTGCGAGGTTACACGAGTTTTTTAGGAACAGCGTATTCCTTTTGTGTAGAGGGATGTAGAACATTTCGATCGCGTCCAGTAACTCGGCTGAAAGGCATTATTTCCTTGTGTCATAGCACGGGATAGGCAAAGTTCAACGGGGCTGCCTAGCGTAATGCGCTTAATTAAAGTTGTTTCAACTCGTTAAGATCGTTCGCGCGGGATGAACAACCCTATAAGCGGCCGTGGCAGTTTGTCGACAACTGGAACGACACTTTCCGTCGCGAAACTTCGTTTTCATCGAGTCTTTCGTTCCGTAATCAGCATTCCCCTTGTTCAATTTTCATTATAACGCCGGTTGGTAAAAATTCATTGCTGTACTGTTTCAACGATACTAAAAAGTTATAAATAGACCATGGAATTTATGCAATTATAGCCTGTAGGGCTCTTTGAAATGCAATAAAATGTAAAAGTTTCATCAGACCCAATGAGTTTTCGATTTTATTCTGAATCCGAGAAGATAGTTCAAAAAGAAATTTCTACATTTGCTCTTTATAAATTACTTTAGGAGATGTTATTTACTGTTTTTGTGTTATTGAACTGACAACAAAATTTCTGTAATCGCTTAGTAATATTTAATAATCTAAGAGTAATAAGGTTTCTGATTTCACAACTGATAATAAAATATTAACATTTATTTCGAAAAGTCATATTAGGTTTAATATGCCTTTAAAAACATGAAAAATTGAAATATATGAAATATATAAAATTTGTAATTACTAGACTACAAGATTTTATGCATTTATAGCCTATAGGGCATTGTGAAATACAGTAAAAGACAAAACTTTCATCGGATCCAACGCGTTGTCTATTTCATAAATACTTGAGAGGAAAAATAAATGTCTACATTTGCACCTGTCTTTACAAATTACTGTAGGAAGTGTTATTTTGCATAAATATCCACAGTCAAGTAATTATCCTACACACACTTACGATTGGAGGGAAGCCTGGCAAAGTGGATAAAATGCAGATACAATTAATATTTAATCGCGACTAAATTTCTATTCGTGATTTTTGTGACTTCTGCTCTCTACCTGGAGATTCAAGGTTAGCTTTCCTAAAACGCGTCTCGAGAAATCGACGGGAGTTGTCGGTATGTTATATGGTCGTGTAGTACAGGCGCAAGCTGGTTGAATTACGTCTCCTCAGATTTCATCGGCCGGTAATTTAAATCCCGATTAATTCAGTAAGCTTAAACGAGGCGAAGCCTGGGAGCTTCGCGTCGAAACAAATTTCGCTAATCATATTCGCCGTCTGGCAAGACGGGGCTCGTTTTACTTCCCGGCTTGTTTCACTTAATCTCGGATTAAGAACCTTCACGGGCGTGGATTTTTTTTTCAGTGAAAATTATCTGCATTTAGGACAGAAATATATGATAAAACTCAATATGTTTTTGTAAGTCGTTAATGTATTTTTCATAGAAATTTATGAATTTCTCTTTCGTATACAAAAACGTTTTATTTAAAAATCAGAATATACGTCTTCTTGCGTCTAATTAAGCCGTATTTGGTTATTAAAAGAAATTTCATATCTTGAGAAATGATACCGTAGCAGCCCCTTTCTCCAATGCTGTAACTTCACAGTTACAGCATTTGCGCTAACTTAAATATCTCAGTCTGGCTTGTACTACACGATTATTGTCTAGACGTTATCCCCACCACTGGGGGGACGCTATAGAGCATGTCCACTGCATACTTTGTTGCCCTTCCAAGAAAACGAATTTACGAGGATCTGAAGCATTTCTTCCCATAAGATTATTATCCCGGCGCGGACCTGAGTTCGAGACAATAATCGAGAGGAGTCTGTACTTTGTTGCCCCTCCACTTTCATTGCCGACGCTTGAGCTTCGTGCAAAAAATGAATTCACGAGTGTCTGAAGCATTTCTCCTTACAAGATTATTGTCCTGGCGAGAACCCGAGTTTGGGACAATAATCGAGAGGAGTCTATATATTACCGCAAATGCTATAACTGTGAAGAGGCCTTGAAAGAAAAGGCTGCTGCGGTATCATTTCTCAAGATATAAAATTTCTTTTAACAGCTGAATTTATACACAAAAACATCTTGATGTTTAAATGAAACATTCTTTCGGACGAAGAAGACAAATTCATAAAAGTAACCTTGTTTTCCGACCTGTCAAAGGTATGCAACCCCTTAACCAGAGCATCCTCCTGTGCCTGTAGCCACAGAATGCCTTGTACATATCTACATATCTACTACATAATACGTTTTCGATTAAAAGTCACTTTACGGGCGGAAAAAATAAACCAAGTACCAACGAATAGTGTTACGATGGTCTGACGTAAGGACGTAGAAATTATGCAGGCACCAGGATCGCATTAAAAAACATAGAGGGGATCCTTTTCTCACGTTCGTACGGCACCGTGTATACCTGCTAATTCATCACGACTCATGGCTCCGGGGACGGAAGATCACTTGGGCACGGAAGGGAAGAAAGGAGGCGAACGTTGGAACCGGGCAGAAAAAGAATCCCCGACGATCTCGAGGAGAGACCACGACCGGTTTCTTTCTCGTTTTCTTACCTACCTTGTTCGCGTCGCTTATTTTTCCACGTCCCACCACCGGCGCAGCGTCCGCCAAATCGATCCCGCATCCCTGAACCCTTCGACGGGATCATTCGCCGAAACGATTACGCACCACCGCGAGATCCATCGTTCTTCTCTCGCGGGGGGATATTCTTCTTAATTGCTATTATCGACGATGCCACACGTGAAACGAAAACCGCGTGGATGTTTGGTTTTCTCGCGGGTTTCGATCGCTGTGAGAAAAATTTCAGATTGTTAGGTGTGTGAAATTGAATCGGTGTGATCATTCAAATAAAAAGCGAACGGGAATTTACACAATTGGATAATTGTATGGATGAGTTTGGTAGGCGTTACTTACTATTCTTGGGCGGAGATCGTTGTTTTTTTTTTGTGGAAAAATTTGACTTGAACGGTAAAGGGTTAATAGTTTAATTTAACTTGTTAGATGCTTTTGATTATATTGTTTTTTTTAGCACTTTGGTACAATGTACAGTAAACTCACTAATGAATGAATATTTAAGAGATTTTAAAACTATTAAGGTCGAATTTTAAATGATAATATTAATAAATATTTGGTACATGAAATTTTGATTTTCTAATATCTACGCCTTTTTATAGCGTATAGAATTCAATTTGAATAATTGGAAAGATGTAAGTAATTATATTAGAAAGACAAAAATGCAGATTTCACGAGTGAATGAACATTTCTAACCAGTGGCGCGAAAATTGTTTGAATATGAAACGGCGAATCGAAAAAAATTTATATTTAATCACTTGCTTGTTTTAATAACTTAATTTACTCGTTTATATATTTTCGAAATGCATTCGGTAATACGATTTCCACGTGCGAATATACATGTCAGCGGCAGAAATCGGAATAGCTGGAATAATAATAATATAAAATTCAGTTGTGTAAACTTGTTTGCATAATGACGTCGTTTCAATCGCGGCGCTCTAATTAAAAGGCGGGCGGTGGCAATATTTTTCGCGCAAGTATCGACGTTACGGTAAAACACGGGCATACGTACATACATACATATACCTCGTGCCTCGTAATCATTATAATATCGTTAAGATAAAAGCAGGCTTTCCGTCTGAAATTGCGATGTACGAACAGCAATCACAATCCCGACGTATTATTCCCTGATAATTCGGGTGTTCGCGTCATTTTCAGCGAAATTCCGAAAGCAATATGTTGGACAGGGATTGTTCGTGTTCTTTTTGCTGACAATTATAGAAAAATACAAAGGAAGTATGAAAATCGGAAAAAAATAATTTTCTGGCAGCAAGAAAAAAGGTTTTGTTCGTAATTATTTTGTATGATGAATCGGTTTTTATATTATTCTGTGTACTGTTTTAGTTAAGAATATTGTTGAAGGTAGTATAAACAGTGTGTAATAATTCTGATATATTACACAATTTGTACTACGATATACACTACCATTGTCAAATTGTAAAAATAGTAGAAGTATTATTCTCTATATTAATATTAGAAATAGATAATAGAGACAAGACTCGTGATTTTAGTTCCATTACATAACAATAACGAAACAAATATGTACGTCCATTAAAAACAAATTAATTTTCCTTTCATCATCTGTTTTACGTCGCATCGACATATGTAGATTATTCACGACGAAATTCAGTCTAAATTACAATATTCTGCATATTCATTCAGGGGTAATTAGAGTTTAGAATAAAAGTTTGTATCTGGATGAAATTTTCAGCATGTATGTAACTAACATAAATCTTCGAAATGTATCCATTAAATTTTCATTACAGTCTCAGATAAAAAAAGGCGTAAAAAATGTCCTTTACTATTTTCTTTGCGATTCCGACCAGTTGCAACATTAAACTAAATTTTTTATACATATCATTTAGTAAACAAATCTTTCGAATTTCACAAAAAAAAGCTCAAGTCACTTGGTACAGTTTTTAAAAAGTTCAAGTTTAAAGGGTGTGCGAATATTTTTTTTCCCACTGTACATTTCAGTAACTCGAACGAAATGAAAAACTCATAATTTCAATACCTCGGAATCACTTCAACGTTCGCTTGCATTTAATCACTCGACAGGAGCCACGACTGATTAACAAGAAAATGAATCACAGCACTCGCGGCTCGAACAGACGAAATCAATTTAATCCTGTATCAGCATTCGGACCCACGAATTAATTTCGATCGTCGACGGGCGTAGCTTGCGTTTAAAAGGAAAGGGCGGTAACGGGGCTGTCCCTGAGATTCCTGAGATTAATACAGCGAGCGCGCATCTCTTTCGGAGTGAAAATTATAACGTTACCAAGAGAGCCGGTTGTGATCCGTGTAATTAATTCTCAACCTGCCTTAACTCCCCATTTTTTTTTTCTTTTTTCGTTCAGGCATGGCGACCGCCGGTCTTGAGGTGCGCGAGGCTGGACGAGCGTTGCGGGTACAAACGGAAGCGCCGCATCTCGTTTCCATGGGAAGCGGACGTTTGTCAACCGCGGTGACCCTGCATCCTTTGCCTGAAGGTACAGTAAAACACAATTTCAACGTGTTTGATCGAAATATTTGACCAAGAGTGAGTGATTACGCGAATCGAACATACCAGTGACTAGTGGTGGATCCACGAGCACCCTGTTTCACACATGTTTGATACAGTGGGTGACTTAATTATGTACAGTGGACTCTCACGATATAGCCGTGGTTGGGGCTGTAGGCGAATAAAATGGCAAGTTTTTTTGTCATAGCACAGACGAGATATAGGAGTAGACATTTCATCTTATGGGAGTTGGTGGTCCACCTAAACTGTAGTACCGACACCTTAAAAAGCCTATGATTTTAGCGACCTCTAGGTTTTGAGAATGGTGAATCTGCAGTGAGTAGTGACACTAAATAATGATTTTAGCGACCTTTACGTTTTGAAAACGGCGAATCTGCGGTGAGTAGTGACACTAAAATGGAAATGGGGTACGTAACCCCAGAAAAGTGAGCCGCAAAAATACATTGGATGAAATGTCTACTCATATACCTCGTCTGTGGTCATAGCCCCGACCTCAGCGCCTGCTCAAAAGCTGGATCGTGTTGGTATCGACGGCGTACGCAACGTAGTGGGAGAGAGAATTTTGGCTCGTGAAAGTACGTGTGGAGGGGAAGTGCCGCGCGTGGCAATATGTCTAGTGGCAATATGGTAAGAGTCCAGTGTATTATGAACACTTCAAAGTATCACTCATTTGAATTTTGATCGAAAATGGAATTGAAAATACACTTATAATAGTACCTTCTTTATTATGACGTTTGAAACTTCAAACTCAAGGCTGTTTGTGAACTTGTCAATACAGTTTGATGAAACGTTTCTAACTTGAAGCCACTCGAGCAGCGAACGCCGATTAAACGTCGTTTAATTCAATAAAATCGAAGTAAAACAAATCTCCACTTTGGACAGAATATAAGATACAAATGAAATTTATATAATTCATGCAGAAGCTAGAACTGTGATAGGATTTTGCTTCCTGATACCAAAACACGTTCCAATTAGAATTATTATCAGCGATGAGAAAGTCTATTGACGAAAACGAAACAGCTTCTATTCGAAGCACTTGGACGTTCGATTCGTGTATGTATGCATACCCGTATCTTAAAAGAAATCGAGGCAGTAACGCTTCCTAGATAACGTCCCGGCCATAACGGTCAGTGATTCATCAATTTTAATCCGTGATTCGAACACGTAATTCGCTCTGATAAAGTCTAATGGCAGTAACCGAGATTCTACGCCGGAGATTCACACGATGCGTTACGCAAACGCTGATGGAATCTCTTCGGGAAATCAATTCAGCTGTGTAAATATCTATTAACTGTTTCATCTGATGTAATATTCATTATTATTTAATGAAGCGTAAAATGTTTCATCCAAAAGGTAATTAGCAGAAGTGTTCCTCCTATTCTGGAACGATCTCTTTACTGTAACTCGAGATGTGAATAACTCGAAGCATATCTAAATTATTAGAAAAAGTGTCCTGTCAAATTTGGTTTTTATTCATTTTTCTGTAAAAATCAGTGCTCCAAGCTTGGGATGCTGGTTGGATACCTGCCTGGGTCCAGTATACACTTTGGGGGCTAAATTTACGTGTTCGGTACATTTCATCCATTAATGTTAGTCTCCAACTTTTCTACTGGTATTATATTAAATTAAACCACGAATTCAGTAAAAGTAACTTATAATTGGAACAAGAAATCTGTCAACATCAGTCTGTAAATCTCTCTCTGAAACTATACTTTCCGTGTTCACAGTTGATATTACACGAAACCATAAATTCAGCGAAAGTAACTTCTTTTTAGAACCAATGTATCAATAACATCATGTGATGCAAATTTTACCAAAACAAGATGAAGCTACGCACTAAAAGAATACCAAAACTAGCAAGCAGTGAACATTTAGCAGTTTTACAAAACATTTAAAGAATCGTGTTGTTAAAACAAATCGTCATTATTTTCACCTTCTCTCGATATAATGACCGTGGAACGTTAGGCCGAGAGTCCCTTTCCGCGGAAAGTCGATTGTGTCAACGCCGCGGAAGAAAAGTCACGGCGTAGTTACGAAATATCTGCTTCCTCTGCGAAGCAGCTCGTCTGTATTAACATAATAGTCGACGATCCATTTGATTCGACGGGAATGCAAATATTTGTAGACGGCGGGGCTCCTTTCCGGTTTCGACACCGACCCACGTGGACGCGGAGGACTCGGGCTTCCTGCCGCGAGCTTGAGTGTATTTTTAAAAGTGAATTTTTCGGGGCCTCGGGCCGCGCCTTCATACGCCAAGAAGATATCCCTGTTGTTTCTTGATTATTTCAGGAATACACAGGGTGTCCCGAAAATTGTAGGCCACGTGTTGCCTGTAATACATCGATGGAAATCGGAAAAGTCCCTTTAACACTTTTGAAACCCACAGCTTCGTTTTAATGACAGACGCGTTTAAGACCCCATTCCCTTTTATCGGCCCAAAAAAGGTGATATTTAAGAATTTTTTTTTAAAGAATAGAAGAAAAATATGATAAAAATCTTCCTGGCCTTTATTTGTACATTCAAGTAAATAAAAAAACATTTTTAACCATTTGTATCTCATAACAACGTTAATCGATTTCGATGAAATTTTCAGCATGCATGTAACTAATATAAATGTAAGTAATGTATTCGTTAAATTTTCATTACAATGTCAGATAAAAAAGTAGGAAAAACGAGATTTACTACTTTCTTCGCGATTCCGAGCAATTGCAACTTTTTCAACATTTTGTTAACACATCATTTAGTACACTAATCCTTCTAACTTCACAAAGAAACTCAAGTCACTTGGTCCAATTTTGAAAGGGTTGTTCTGTTTTAAAGTGTGTACGAATACTTTTTTGACCCACTGTATACAGGGTGAACCACGAATCATGATCAGTAGAAATTACTCTGTTATTAGCAGTCTGATCGAAAATGTTTTTACCAGGTAAAGCATGGTTTCAAAACAGCTTTAACGTGATTATAGCAAATTTTTTGTCAACTTTTTTTCATGATTTTTCAAGGTCACCTTCATTTTTTTTTTTTTTGCAAATACACCTATAATTTTTTTACGCCTTTCTGTTAGAGGATTTCAAGACGAATTTGCTAAGTATCATAACATAACATGTGTTACTTTTTTTTCCATCTAGGTCAAGAAAAAATTAAAGAAATATTCGAACTGTAATATTACAAAGAGTATCGTATGCTACGCCATTGTACGCGTTCCGATGTTAAGCTCTTGCCTACAGTTTGTAAACATTTCGTTTTATACATTGGAACACATTTAATGATATCTATTGAACACGATTCGTGGTTCACCCTGTATACTACACGGAGGGCGGCGTGTGCATTTACCTGCCTGCACATCTATCTCTAATAAAACGATCCCCGCGTAAAACCTGGCGATTACCCCACCCCCCGGAAAAATGCAACCGCGGCAGAAGAAAGCGTTTCCCTCTGAAGGTGTTCCACGATGCGGAAATGCGAAGGGGTTAGATAAGAAAATAATCTCGAGATTACGACGGAGCCGTTGTATAATAGCCAGGGAATTTGTTGGATAGAATTTTTTTTTTCTTCCTCTATTTTCCGTTCTCGAAGCCGACGGAATCCCTGGTATCGAGAGTAATCTGGATCCACGGATTTCTGTGTGCGGTAAAAGCGTTCCGCCCGCGTGGTTTCTTCGCGACGGCGCCTTATGCCCCGTGAGTTCGCGGAAGGCTTTGCTCCGCTTTGCCTTTGTGGCAAAGCATTTCGGGTATTCGTTTCAATGAACGGTATTATTATATGTATAGTAGATTTTGTCGATTCGATCGTATTTAACTGAAATAATGGTATTTATATCGTCGGTTTGCTGGAAGAGTGACAACTCTCAGAAATCGTTAATTTAGAGATGTATCTGCAAAAATTAACTCTAACAGTGAGCTATTTTTATCGGAAAGATAGCTTAAATAGATAGACAGAAAGATATCCGAAAGATAAAAATATGTATTTATCGTAAAATTATACCGTTTCACAGGAATAGTGTCACAATTTAAAGTAGAGCGGTTTTATCCGGTTTTAACCCTTCATAGGCAAACATATTTTTTCACACTCCGTAGGTAACCTGGGTCGTTCGGGTTTAAGGTTAATTTTTTTACTGTTTCAGGCTTTCAACAAATGTAAAAAAATTCGGGATACTTGCCGAAGTTTTTATTATATTATGCAACCGTTCGTTAAGTCGAATGATAAAAACTTTTTTAAATGAAAATGAAAATTCCGGGAAAAGTCCACGAATATTATAGTAAGCAATACACGTATATACACAATATTTTATTATAGACCCTCAAAACCTAAATATTGTTGTGAAGTGTGTTGAATTGTGAAAGAAAAAAATTTGTCCATTGTTAAACGTTTGAGTAATCAATAATTTTCTACCGCAAAAAATTTCATATCGAAATCTTGAAAAATTTAATTTTATTAGGTGTGTCACTCTTCTAGCAAATCGACAATATGTTATAAAACGTTGTAAAGAAAAAATGTGGATTCCAGGTGTCTCTGGTTTGTTTCAATACGGCTGATCCGAAACAAACAAATCATGAAGATTTTTTTCAGGATAGAATGTAGGTGTGATTGGAACTGCGATGAAAAAAATTTATATAAATCAACACGTTAACTAACGTGAGGAATATTGGAGCTATTATGCGAAAATATAATTAGCTTCTTATCAGGGGTATTACTTGCAATCTAGTAAATCTAATTAGTAGTCGAGGAAACAAAAATAATCTTCTGCAAACACTTTTTCAGTATTTATACAACAGCTCCAACGTATTTCATAATGCTTTTGTTGCTTTAATGAACGTAATTGCTTCTTAACCGCTTTGCTAATTTAATTAGCGTACACTTAATTCAGTTTTTACGCAGATTTTTTCACATGATTTTTATTTAACCAGAAAAAACTTAAATTCTATTTTTGTACGATTTGTTTTGATCTATCAAGGTTCGATAATTTAA